ATAGTATTAAGCCTTTTATCTAGTATACTATTTTAAATTTTTAATGTATTTGAGTGACAAGTATTTGAATACTTTTTACTGTAATCGAATACTTTTCAAAGTAAGATAATGAAATACTTTTCAAAGTATTCGAATACTTTTTATAGTATTCGAATACCTTTGATAGTATTAGAATACTTTTGAAAGTATTCGAATACTTTTGAAAGTATTCGAATACATTCTAAAGTATTTGAATACTTATTTTTTAAAGTATTTGAATACTTTTCAATGTATCTGTATCAAGTATTCGCTTGTGCTGGACGTAAAAGTATTTAGTATTCAAATACCTTTGATTTGTGTAAAGTATTTACTATTTAGTATTCAAATACTTTTTGAAAGTATTCTGCCCAGCTCTGCCTGTATGTAACTAATTCTTATTTCATGAGAAGTCGGAATTTTTTCATTTCAAATAGACACAGAATTGAAAAATTTTTTTGATTAAATCTGATTCAATCATCCAGTCCGTCCTTTTACTTTAATAAGGACCAATATTTCTTGGGGAAGAATATTTTTACGGGTTTAAAATTTCCATTTTCCTTAGTTATGCGAAAAATTCAAAAATTAAATTCAAAACTAAAAGCTACGGTCACGTGTTTGATCTCCGAATCATTCCGATACTCTTGCTCAGTGTTTGAGGGGTGGATTACTCCACCTCGAGGTGGCACCCCGCCTTGATATACAAGATAACGTACCAGATATGTGTTTCCGTAAGCAACAAGCAGTGCTATATTCGAAACTAATTAAACCTGTACTGCTTCACAGGAAGTATATCTAATGTTATGTGAAAACAACAGTTAAACAGACAGTTAAACAGACATTTTTGGCATATGTGTTTGTCCATCCAGTAGAATTAAACACGGTGCGATTTTTAGTTAAAAGGTGGTGTGCTTGCAAAACCTGACGAATACAAAATCAAGAAATCATGTTCAGATATTCGTAAGCTCTACAATATGAAAGAAAATGAAAGTGGGCTTACGTGTAATTACTTAGTTTCCATTGAAAAACCGGAAAAAGAATATTGAGTTGTGGTAACATGAAATTTAAAACCACTTCTAAAGAAAAATAAGGAAATGTTTAAAATTAAAATTCACAAAGGCGATCACCAACAGAAATAATTGGATCCAGGTCGAGAAAATAAAGCAACGCAATTCTATTTGGTCATGTGGTACGAGCAAATAGAGGATCCCAGCGAATACAAATAGCTGCTAGCGTAAACTATTGAAATACGTATAAAAATGTAGATTAATTTATATATATTATCTCATTTCGTGTTCAAATAAAGAGGAAAATTGAGCGCTAATCGAAATTCCCTTACAAACATCGACAATTTTCATTAAATATTTAGTTGCGACGTAGTACAAAGGGACAGAAATAAACAAATTGATCCTTCCTTTGCCATCCATAATTCATTTTTAGGTATGACACGGTTGAGAAATCAGAATCTAATCGCGGGGTGTTTACCGAAATAATGTACTAGAGGGCAAAATTAAGAGATCCATAATTAATTAGACTTTTTTCAGGGTTGTTATAGTATTAGACTACAATGTAAATTTAATCACGTTTATGGCATGTCTCGTGTGTCGGGTGTAATTTTATTTTACAACTTGGAACTTAAAAGCAGAGCATTCGTGTTGTAATTTTCAAGACTTGTAGCGTTTGAGGATGCATTAAACACGTAAGGACTATTAGTGATAATGGGTTTTCGCTAGTTTGCGAAGACAAATTGCAATTATTGCGGAAATATGAGGATCTCATATCGTTTTCGGAAATTGAAACGATGGAAATTAAATATTTATGGCAGCAATCGGCGCGTACCAGCTTTTTGCATTTCCCTCTTCAAAAATTCACCGGCTTGCAAAGTTTTCGAGTGCTTTCGCTAACAAATCAATTCGAAACACGTAGGTATCAAGTCGGGAGACAGTTGGAAAACACCATTGCGCCTAGTGCACCAGAATTCAATTAAATTTCGATTAATATTATCGTGCTTGAAGCTTGGCAAGGGAAACAATTTAAAGGGAAATCGTCCGAGCACATTTTCCACGAGGTAACATCTGTAAATGCAATCGAATTTATTTGCAACTCGTCGTATTTCTAAATCTGATATTCTAGAGTTAAATATGTTGGAAGTCACTGGAGACGTTTGTAAATCCCTGCAACTTTACATAGAAAATGAAATAATAAAAATAGGTGGCCTTAAAGTTCTTCCTTTCCAA